GAGGCTTTGCCTTAGGCGTGGAGTTCCAGGGCAGGCTGCCCTGTCCTTAGCGGTGAGGTTCCAGGAGGCTTCCCTGTCGTCGCGTGGGTTCCACGCATGGCTCCTGTTGTTAGGCGTGAGTTCCCAGGGCAGGCCTTCCCTTGGGTCTTAGCGTTGGAGTTTCCAGGGCAGGCTCCCTGTCGTTTAGGCGTGAGTTCCAGGGCCAGGGCTTCCCGTGTCGTTAGCGTGCGAAGTTCCAGGCAGGCCTCTGTCGTTGTAGCGGTGAGTTCAGGCAGGTCTCTGCCCTTAGCGTTGGTTCCGGCGCGCTTTCCCTGTTGTCGTTAGCGTATTCCCCAGGCCAGGCTCCCTGTCCGTTAGCAGTGAAGTTCCCAGCGCAGGCTCCCTGTCGTTAGCGTGAGTTCCAGGCCAGGCTCCTGTCGTTAGCGTGAGTTCCAGGCGAGGCTCCCTTGTCGTGTAGCGGTATCCAAGGCAGGCTCCTGTCGGTTTAGCTGGTGGAGTCCAGGAGGCTCCGCTTTTTCCTTAGCGTTGGTTCCAGGCAGGCCTCCCTGGTCGTTAGGTGAGGTTCCAGGGCAGGCTTCCCTGTCCTTGCGGTGGAGTTCCCAGGGCAGGCCTCTCTTGTGAACCGTGGTGGGTTGGCCTGTCCTTGCGTTGAGTTTCCAGGCAGGGCTCTCTGTGAACCGGGGGGTTGCCTGTCGTTAGCGTGAGTTCGCAGCGGTCCCTGTGTAGCGGTGAGTTCCAGGAGCTCCTGGTCGTATAGCGTGAGTTCCAGGGCAGTGCTTCTTCTCTTTGTCGGTTCTGGAGTTCACTAGTCCCTGGTCGTTTAGCGTGATCCAGGGCTTACTCCCGCGGTTACGTGGTTTGCGGGTCTCTCATGGTCCGGTCTCTTTTCTACCCCCCAGCGACTAGCCTTGATGTACCGAATGCAGGTTGCAAATATTGACAAGTTTGAAGAAAAGCTTCGAGCAGCTGAAGATGAGCTGAATATCGAGGCCAAGGACAGGATCCCGGTTTCCTACAGGCGAACAGGATTCTTTGGAAAGTATGTGGGACGTGTTTGTTGACGCTTGAACTAAACCTCACTTGGCTTTGTAGTGTGAGAAACAGATTGCAAACAAAAATCTCAACTGTCTTTGCCTACAGTTACCTAGACTTTTTTTGTGGGAGGGTTAAATAAATATAGAAGTGAATGATGCACTGCCAGGAAATTTGGAGATGTAGTCGTCCCTGGGTATCCATGGGGGCTGGTTCTAGGACCTCCCAAGGATACCAACACCACAGGATGCCTGAGCCCCTGACGTGAAACGCCGGAGTCCTTGCGTGTAACCTGAGAACATCCTCTGATGGGCTTCAAATCATCTGTAGGTTGCTAATAATACCCAATGCCCTGTAAATACCATTTCAATCATTGTTACACTTTATTGTTCAGGCAATGATGACAAAAATGTGTCTGTACATGTTCAGTACAGATGCACGTTTTCCCCACGTATTTTCATTCTGTGCTTGGTTGATCCTGTAGAGGTGGAACCCGTGGCTATGGAGACCAACTGTGTGCAAGTCTGTTGGAGTTTGTTTAGTCACTTTCTTCAGTTGTCTGGCGCTTCTGAATTCACATTCTTGTTTAATGTTCACTGACTGTGCTCTTTGATGGAGGCTTCCCAAGTGGTCAGATGGAGTGTGCAGGTGCCGGAGATGCCTGGTGACAAGCCAGCCTCGTGACAATAGCAGTGCTCAGGTTTTTCTGTTTTCGGTACATTTTGTTTTCAGAAGTAAGCGATCAGTTTCAGTTAGCAAGGCAAGATCAGCCTAGCAGTAAAAAAGAGAGTCAAGGAGTACCTTGATAATGTCTTGGGGTTGCTGTCTTCTCCATATAGGAAAATGGAACGGGAAAGGTGTAGACACGGGAATGTGAAACTCTCATTTCAGTGTTGAGAGGGAAACAGACCAGGTGGGAGCTATGGGCAGTTAAGGACCATGGACCCTGACAGGTTCCGTAATAGGAGCAAATGAGGGGCCAATGGGTGTTGAAACCAGAGAGGTTTATTGTTGACTTGTAATCTCTGAAGTTGTAGAATGCCAGTGACTGGCAAGTACTCCCTTGATCAAAATGCACCTCTAGCCAGGTGCGGTGGCTCTGCCTGTAATCCCAGCACTTTGGAAGGCTGAGGCAGGGAGGATCTCTTGAGCCCACGAGTTCGAGACCAGCCTGGGCAGCATGGAGAACCCCATCTCTACAGGGAAAAAAAAAAAAAAGATGCACCTCTGATTCTGTAACTCAGCAACTCCTGGAAGATCGCTGCTCTGAGGCTGTGCTGCTCACGTCTTCGTAGGCTGATGATGTACAGAAGATGGAGGGTTGGGGCAGGCCCGGGGCAGCCCCTCCTTCAGTATGAGGGCGAAAGTCCTGGGATTTGCTTTTTTTTTTTTTTTCCTTTTGAGACAGGATCTCTGTCACCGAGGCGGAGTGCAGCAGCACAGTCTCAGCTCATTGCAGCCTTGACCTCCCACAGTCAGGTGATTCTCCCACCTCAGCCTCCTGAGTAGCTGGGACTGCAGATGCACGCCACCACATCCAGCTAAGTTTTTTGTATTTCTAGTCGAGACAGTGTTTGTTTGTTATTTTTTTCTTTTTGAGATGAAGTCTTGCTCTGTAGCCCAGGCTGGAGTGCAGTGGCACGATCTTGACTCAGTGCAACCTCCACCTCCTGGGTTCAGGCAATTCTCCTGCCTTCGCCATCCGAGTAGCTGGGATTACAGGCGCACGCCACCACGCCTGGCTAATTTTTGTATTTTTTTAGTAGAGATGGGGTTTCACCATGTTGGCCAGACTGGTCTTGAATTTCTGACCTTGTGATCCACTCGCCGCAGCCTCCCAAAGTGCTGGGATTACAGGCGTGAGCCACCGTGCCTGACCTGTGATTTGCTTTTTACTGCTAGGCTGATCTTGCCTGCCTGATTGAAACTGATCACTTACTTTTGAAAACAAAATATACTGAAAATAGAAAAGCCAGAATGTTGTTATTGTCACAGGGCTGGCTAGATCACTGGGTATCTCCAGCATTTGCACACTCAATCGGACCATTTGGGAAACTTTCATGTCAGAGCACAGTCAGCGAGAACGAGACGAGAGAACCCATTTCCACAACCGTTTTAATCTGTGCATCGGTCCCACAGGTAGGGACTCCTCGTCTCATCTTGGAAGCGTTGCCAGCGGTGGTTCTGACTTGGAAACGTGTCTGTCACGTGACACTCTCTGAGCCTGTGCCTGCCTCTCTTTCTTCCGGCAGCGCCCTGTACTCCGTGGGGATGACAGCGGTGGGCCTGGCCATCCTGTGGTGTGTTTTCCGTCTGGCCGGAATGACTGGCAGGGAAGGTGGATTCAGTGCTTTTGTAAGTTCTGTCAGTCAGAGCCCTCTGAACTCTTTTTCTGCTTTGTGTTTGCTGAATACGCCTCCTGTGAGCTGCACGATAAACACACAGGGAACACCCGTAGCAGAGAGCAGCCTGAAGCCACAGCAAGGCAGCAGCTCCCCTTCCCTTCCCATGGGCTGGCTGTAAGGCGTGTAGTAACCAGTGTTGCCTGAGGGCCTCTCACCCTAACTCTGGGGTGCCTGAGCCATGTGAGATGACAGGGCAATTGAATCTGCATTTTTCTTTTCTTTTTTTTTTCTGAGACGGAGCTTCGCCTTTGTTGTCCAGGCTGGAGTGCATTGGCGTGATCTCAGCTCACCACAACCTTTGCCTCCCGGGTTCAGGCAGTTCTCCTGCCTCAGCCTCCCGAGTTGCTGGGATTACAGGCATGTGCCACCACGCCCGGCTAATTTTGTATTTTTAGTAGAGACGGAGTTTCAGCATGTTGGTCAGGCTGGTCTCGAACTCCCGACCTCAGGTGATCCACCTCGGCCTCCCAAAGTGCTGGGTTTATAGGTGTGAGCCACTGCACCCGGCTTTTCTTTCTTTCTTTTTTTTTTTTTCTTGAACAGAGTCTCGCTCTGTTGCCTAGCCTGGAGTGCAGTGGCATGATTCTGCTCACTGAAACCTCCACCCCCTGGTTCATCGCAATCCCTCCTAACTCAGCCTCCCTGAGTAGCTGGGACTGCAGGTGTGGCACCATGCCTGGCTAATTTTTGTATTTTATAGAGATAGGGTTTCACCATGTTGCCAGGCCGGTCTTTGAACTACTCGAGCTTGGGTGATCTGCCTGCCTCGGCCCTCCCACGTGCTGGAGCCCACCACCCCGGCCAAATCGGCATTTTTTTTTATGATCCACCAAAGACTGTTTTCCCCTTTGTTTCCAACTAGCGAAGAATCTGAGGAATTTTAAAGGTTGTCTTATTTTTATTTATTTATTTATTTATTTATTTTTCCTGAGACTGATCTCGCTCTGTCACCCAGGGCTGGAGTGAATGGCACGATCTTGGCTCACTGCAAGACTCGCCTCCCGGAGTTCACACCATTCTACTGCCATAGACCTCGCCGGAGTAGCTGGGTGACTACAGGCCGCCGCCACTATCCTGCTAATTTTTTGTAATTTTTAGTAGTAGATGGGGCTTTCACCATGTTAGCGCAAGATGGTTCGAGTCTCCTGACCTCATTGATCCGGCCGCCTCCGGCCTCCCAGAGATGCTGGGATTTACAGGCGTGAGCGTCAACCTGCAATTTATGTTATTTATTTTGAGACAGTCTTGCTCTGTCTTTCAGGCTGGAGTGAGTGGCGCGATCTCGGTCTCACTGCAACTCCGCCTCCAGGGTTCTCACCATTCTTCCGCCTCAGCCTCCCCGACGTAGCTGGGACTACCAGGCGCCCACACATCACACCCGCTAATTTTCTTGTATGATTTAGTACAGATTGGGATTTCACCCGAGGCCAGAATGGTCTCGATCTCCTGACTCTACTCGGATCTGCCTGCCTTGGCCTCCCCAAAGAGCTGGGATTCATACATGGAGACCACCTCACATACCGGCCAGGTCCGTCTTTAAAACGAACAACCCTTAGCCAGGTACCAGTGGGTACACAGCCCTGAAATCTTACCCATGTTGGAGCAGTAGTGGTGGGACACCTGACGTCAGCTGTGTGAGACGACCAGCCTGACCAACCATCGAGAAACCCTGTCCTCCTCCTAAAAAAAAAAACAAAATAGCCGGGTGTGGTGGCAGGCATCCTATAGATCCACAGACTACCGGGAGCTGAGGCGCGAGAATCCTTGAACCTGGCGGCGAGCGTGCGGGAGGCTTTGGTGGCCGAGATCACGTCACTAGAGCCACTCCACGCCTGGACACAGAGCAAGACTCACCCATCCAAAAAAATAAAAGAATGCCTGGCGCGCCGGGGCTCATGCCTGTAGCTGATCCCACACTTATAGGAGGCCACAGGCGGCGTGGATCACCTGAGGTCAGGAGTTCGACGCACCACAGCCTGGCCAACATCGTGACCCAG